CCGCCCGCCGTGGCGATGAAGGCGATCGTCGACGAAGGGTTCGGGGTCTTCGGTTCGGTAAGCCGTGATGAGATGCAGAGTCTCGCCGACGAAGGGGAGGCCAAGAGTTCCCGGCGGGAGGGCGTCGGTGGCGCTTTTGCGATTCAGTCGCCGGAGTGCGGCGAAAGCGATGATGGAGAGGAGGAGGAGGAGGAGGAGGAGGAGGAGGGAGGGGGAGGAGAGCTGATGGTATACAGAGGATACAGTGGTGGCCATGGAGGAGAGAAAGGGGGAGGTTGGAGAAGCCGAATGCGACGATTGACCCGAGAGGATTTATGATGGTGGCCTCCAAACGGAGCAAATCCGTCTTGCCATATTCTAGGAAACTGAAAGAACAAGCAATGGTGTGGAGGAAGAGGAGGGATAAAGGTAAAGAAATAAAACAGAAAGATAGAGTATGTCTGCACAGACACATATGGATTTCATTATAGTATCATAAATCCTACAAGTAGTTCCTCTTAGTAAAATTCTCTTTGGGTGTTTGGATGTGGGTAGGATTTGGTGTTTGGATGTGGGCAGGATTTAAGTTAAATAGGATCAAGTAAATACTCTAATTTTATATTTAGAGAATCCAAATATTAATATTTGAAATAAAATTTGATCCATCTAAAGAATATTTGGTAGCATATTATTTATAGGATTTAATCATAGCTTTAACTTAAATCTAGCCAAACACAGATAAATAAATTTGATGTGTCATTAAATTAAATTTTCTCGCATTCCGTTTTTTCTCTTCTCGTGTTTCATCATTTTTACAACTTAAATCCAGATTTAGTGAATCTAATTACGAGTACGATTTATTCCATTATTGCAGCGTCTTATTTGATAAATCATATTTAACGTAAAACTGAGTTGTAGCTAAACACTGCCTTAAGATTAGATCCAATGAAATTCATTTTAATAAATCCATGTCACAAAATAAACAAAAAGAAAAAAAAAAATGAATTTAACATAACGTCAGATTTCTAATATAATTGTGATTTATTTAGGTTAAATTGATACTTAAATCCTATTACAAGTATCATACCAAACACTCACTTAATATGTTTACGAGTTATTCATTCTCACATGATTCAACGACTAATGTTACTATCACCAAATCTTCTACTTCCATTTGTGATTCACAATGACTTTTATCGATCGTTTTCTTTGTTTGATTTTTATTGATTATTAGCTAGGTTAGCCAATGCACTACATGCAATTATGATATTCCCATTGAAGTATGTGTGATGGTATTATAGAAAAAATTATCATTGCTAGTGAAAAGAAAATCCATCTGTTTTGAAAATAAAATTCACCACAGAACTACACAAATACCACTTAGTATGTCACCCACATTTGTTCATTTGATTATTCATTATAAAAACTAATATGATCCATCGTTGTCTTGCTATGTTCAAGAAAAACTTATTAAGGGAAACTCAGAATTTGGGATTCGATATAATATTATCTGACACGCCATGGGACCAGAAAACAGTGCATTATGACAACACAAAATGTGATGAAACAATGTAAACATGTTTCTTAGTCAAAACAAAAATTGTGTACAGACAACAGTGAAAGTAAGTAGGAAAAGAAAAACTTTATTTCATTAAATCAATAAAAGTAGCATTCGTAGTTAAAAAAAAAACAGAAGAACAACATTTACTGAAAATAACAAGGAAAGAACTAGGTGCAAATGCAAATTATTCAAACCCAAAAAAATAACAATTACTGATACATACATGGAAAAAAAACAAAATAAATCTATTGTGGAATGAGTTGTTCCTATAATAATGGGTCAATGAACTACCTAGCTATTAGAAATATCAATAATTGATCGCCTCCAAACTTGGTATGTCCTCTTCCAAAAGAAGATAGTTCTCATAGTAAAACTACTTATTGCCTTCAAAAATGGTCTTTTTAATAAGGGCAATCAATACCTCTTTTTGAAGAGAAGATAGTTGTCTCGTCTTAGGACTATAGGCCCAGATCACCTCAAAATCCAGCATGTCTGATGAGGGTAGTCAACTTTTAATTCAACGGAAAATGCTTGCCTAGCATAGAACTATGAGGCTTGATCAACGCAATAAAGACTGATATTGCATATTAACGAAGCACTATGTGGATAAAGACCAAAGTTGCAAACTAATGTAGGTTCTATGGAGTTGTTCATCATCCTGAACATTGTGCAAAGACGCACCTCAAAGAATGTTCACCAAATCTTCGACAACTACTCCCTCCCGACCGTTGTGCAACTAATCCTTCTGTATACAATCATTGTACTTCAAAAAACAGTGTAACCCTTTCCCGCACATGGGATAAGAGCTTGTCATGTACTCATTAATTTATAGTGGATCATTCTACTAGGTAAGGCCCCATGATTTTTTTTTCTTTTTGTATTTTCTATGTAACAATTTTTTGTCTCTATGTGTCACTTCAATTACCTATGTATGTGTGTGTGTTGGACTTTTGTGCAACGCTAAGACACTAACTAATTAATCTACCACCTGCATCTTTCGGAACACATCAGGCCTTAATATAATATATATATA